GCACCCGCCGGGCGTGTGCACCCGTGGCCAGCTCTGCTACCTGCACACACCAAGCCGCGCCACCTGTGCACGCACCCCTAGGGCCAAGCGCGCTCCTTACACACGCGCGCACCCCATCCTGCACCCCCGCCCACCTACCGTCGCCTGCGGTTCTTACAACGTTTGTGCAAGCACACCTATGCCTAGCTGTACACCTTGCATCTTTCCCCCCGCCTTCTGCAGACATGTACAATTGGGTCATGCCATCCCCCATGCATACACACCTGTGCCCACGCACACTCCTGCTACATGCACGCTTGGGGCTTGGCGCTCTCCACATACAAGCAGGGTCTGCATTCCTCTTGCACGTACACCTCCACACTAAGCTGTACAGCCTCCTGCACATACCCCCTCCTGACACACGCATACACACACACACACACACATACATACACCCAGGCCACACACCCTGCGCTCAACAGCCACACATGCTACATCCACGTGCACACACAGGCTGTGCACTCCTCCGACACGCGCACATACACACAAACAGCTCACACCCTTCCAACACAGGCCGGCACGTGCCCTCACACACACAGGGTGCACACACAGCCCACAGCGTGCAGACGTTCACGCTGTGCACCCGGGCAGCCCGAGCACACAGCCGTGCACACTCACAGCTCTATCCGTGCCCTCTCGCCCCCCAGCCTCTTCCAAGACGCGCGCACACTGCCCGGCCTTCCCCCTCTCCCCACGCCCGGGGCTCCCTCCACAAGCACTGCTCTGTTCCCCAGCGCCGCTGGGCACCCCGGTCCCCGCTGCTCCTACGCCCGGGCCAGCCACTGGCACTGCTACAATGCCCCACTCAGTTCACCCTGGCCCTTGCGCAGCCTCACAGCCGGCGCTGGCTTCCTCTGAGCGCAGCCTGAATGCTTCATTTTCACCTTCCCTCGCCCCAGCTCCAAGACAAACAACCCCAACCCTCCGCCCCACGGCTCCCTGCAGCCCAAACGCACGCAGCCCTCGCGCCAACCGGGGCCTGCTCTAGGTTCCCCTGTCCAGCTGCTCTTTGCAAATTTCCCCTTCCCCAGCCTCTTCCAGCTCATCCTGGCCCTGGTCGTGCTCTTCATGCCTGCCTCACATCTGGCTGTCAATAGTGTCCCTGCACCCAGCACCCCCTTTCTAAACTCCTCTCCCACTCTGGCTGTCCATCGTCGCCTGTCTCCAACACTCACTCCGTCCTGCCCTGAGATCCCAACTCAGACATGCCATACTTAACTTTTCCCCAAACCTCCTCCTCTTAAAGGCAAACAATCACACACCATCCACAGCTGCCTTTCTAAATCGGAAAAAGACAGAAACCACACAATTATCAGCTTTATATGGCTGCTTGTTTCTCTGTGTGGTAACACGAGGAGACAGTAGTCTGGAAGGAAGGAGGTTTGCTGGATCCGTGTGTGATTTGAACCCCACACAGCCCACAGACAGCGTACAGGAAATCTCTGCACTGACACTTCTGCTCAGCAAGTTATTGTCACTGTTACGCTATGCCTTCCTCAGCCACGTGCTGCGTCTCCAAGGCACGCCTTTTGGATGACACAGGAACAATTATTAGCTGGTTGTGGGTTTAACGAACCCCCAGTGATACGTTCAAAAAACCTCTGAAGTCTAACAGCAGCAACAGCAGCATCTGCACCATTTTCCAATTGAGTTTCCACTGTATCATTGTACTCAAGGTGGAAACTGTGGCACCACCCAATGCAGCTGCTGACTCCAGCTGAACCAAGGGCAAAACAGGGACAAAACAGTATTATCCTAGACCAACCTGAAGCCAGGACTACGAGGAAAACCTTTGTGTGATTGCCTGTAGCAGAACACCTGCTGCAGCTGCACTAAAAAATGATTTAGTACAAGGCAACATTCAGGAAAGCTCTTTGGCTGATGATGCAGGGTGGCTGTAACGCCCTCATCTCTCACTGCTCTTTTGAGGCATCTTCAAGAAGCAATTTGTTGTCCTCACTCAATCCCCTTCTCCCTACGAAGAACTCTTTCTGTCCTGCCATCTTTTCTCTCTACATCCTCCTCTTACTAATCCAATTTTCTCCATTGCTTCTTCCCTCCCAATACCTCCTTCCTTAGATCTCAGTTGTACCCATTCACTTTCTGAAGAAATTGTGCTTCTTTCCCAGTTGTTCTGTTCCCAGCAATGTACTAAGATCACTTGATCTCCCTCTGGGTTTCATCTGGGGACAACATGCAGACCACAGCCACGGGCCCTTTGGACCTGACCTTGTGCGATCTTCACCACAGATAAAGGTGAAGTCCCTCACATGTTCAAACTAGCACAGCTCCGGGGTCTGACTATGGACTGAATTACACTGATCTACATGCACTCCAAACTGGGTAATTTTAGAAGGATCCTACTGGCATTTTGATTAAGTCCCAAGCAAGTGCAATGTTTCCACTCTTCAAATGGATTAGATAAGCCATCTTAGGAACGTTCTCTTTAAAAGAGTTCCTAAACTTATGCTAACAAATCCGGATCAGTTGCACTCATCGCAGGTGGACAGAAAATGCAAAACTGATGCAACTAAATTCCCAAGGGCAGGAGCAGTACAGCATCTCTCTCAAGCTGCACATCTGTTGGTCTCGGTCCATATCCTTTGCTATATACTAAGAACGATGCTATTTTGGGCAGGGTCTCATTGAGGAAACACCCTGGCCTGATTCTGCAGTCTCATTCTGTCCCTCGCAGGATGAAGTCTTTTCCAGCGTACCATCCTATAAACCTAAAGCAGGATGATGGGCACTATCAGGAATTGGATCATTAACCCCTTGTAGAATGCTTCAAAAGAGAAACATTTCAGTTTCATTTTAACTATTGATGTTTCTTCCTTCCACTTCAATCACAGGGCCCTGAGCCAGGCTTCAGCTTACTCCCAAGATTCAGGACAAAAGCCAGTAAAAAATAACTGCTACCCCTGTGAGAAACAATATTTCTGTACCATCTATGCAAGATAAGTGCTAAAGCAGGTTAGAGATTATACCGCACAGAACATTTTCCTCTGGCAAGCTTTCTCCTTCTATCCAAAGCAACAATGCCGTGGCTAAAGTTTAATGAAGTCGTTGAGCTAATCCATGCTGCCCACAGGGGACTGTTTGCTCCATCTCCATCACTTGTTTGACATCTCGTTGAGCCATTTCAGCTTGCTGAACCAGGAGAAAACTATTCCCTTTTTTGGGAGAGCGCAACTGGGAAGCGGCTATTTGGCACACTGGATCTTGAGCACAGTTTCATGGCACAGCTATGCCAGTGTTAGAGCTAGCACCTACTGAAAAGAGCAGCCCCACTTCTCCCTTCCACGTGTGCATTCCTGTCCCCTTCTTTGTACAGCATTCATGCTTTTGGAGGGTGAATGTTCTGCCAGTTAGCTTTCTGAACTGGGTCAGTGCAGGACCAGGCAAGAGCCAGTGCTGGCATCAGAGAAGTGGAAGGAACTCCCAGCCTGGAAGGAGAAGGAGGACAAGATCAGGATGGCTCCTTTTTGCCTGGATTTCCATTAGCTCAGGTTAGCTGCAAAATGAAGCCACCCTCTAACCCCAGCAGCACTTAAGCAATAGGTACTTTAGCCCCTTTCCTTTTCCAGGGAAATCCATTTGTGAACTCAGTTCTGCAGTGCCCAAGGCAGTCTTGCCCTTGGCACAGCTGCTAATGACGACTGAACTGTTTTAACTTCAGACTGAGGCAGAGACACCTCATGTTCTCTCCCTCTGCTTAGGGTATTCAGCCTTCAGCCTCAGATTCTGCCCAACTCAGCTTTTAGGGAAGAAGCAGGACTTCTTTGGCCTATCACCCCTGCTCCCTCATGCCTCCTCCCAAGCCTCTTTTTGTCCTCAAGCTCTTACTCAACCAAAAACTCCCCTTTAGCTGTCTGTTCTTTGGAGGTAGACCTATTACTTGTCCCTTTCTTAACCACAATATACAGTCACTCTGCTCCTTGAATTGGGCAACATTGAGAAAAACAGTGGCCAGTGTATTCTTACGGACAGCGTAAACTTGGTGCCAGGCCCACAAGCAAGGTAAGATTTATGCTAGCTAGTTCTTCCTTGGGACAAGGGCTGGGTAAAAGATAACTACAAACAAGTGATGCTTCATGCGCTGCTATCTTCAAACCATAGCCCAAGCACTGTTAACACTTCAATTTGTCTGTGGTATTGGTAGGTAGAAATGCTTGCCATCAGGATCTCCAGTATGACACTTGTTAATGTGAGTTTCCAGACATGTCCTAATATAAACAGTAACAACTCTAGGCAAAGCAAGTGGAAAAACCTGGACCTAAGGAGGACCACCTTCATTCCATCTGACCTCCCCCTGCTACTTGGCTTGAGTACTTGCACTATAAACTATTATTCCATGTCCTACCCAACATTGCAAACCACCCTCATCTTGGAGGGCACAGAAATAACCCACCACACTTCGAAAGAAACACTTCTGCTCTGAAAGAAAGTACATGGACAAGGAAGAAACCCAGCCTGCAAAAACTGTTCCCCAGGGCTCAGAAAGGTGAGAAGTGATTTATGTGCCCAAAATAAACCACTTAAGCCAATAAAATTTACAAAACCCAAAATAGTTTTATTTACCTTTCAGATTTTTGCCTCAACGAGACATTTTGCAAACATGCTAAGGCTACAAAATGTCCAAGTTGACAAAGACATGCAACGCTGACCATTCAATAAGTCACAGCTATTATAGTAGTGACCGTGCCCACCTGGGCCACAGGTCCCATAAAACAGGGATGGTGTACAGTGATTCATGGTAACGTACTACACAGGACCCAGTAACCTGAGGTAGGTCTCTTTACAGTAAGAAAACAAAAT